ATTTCTATACTCTGATTTTTGAGGAAACATCAGACTACCTTCCACAGTGATTGTACCATTTTACAGTCCCATTCACAGTACTTGAGAACTCCAATCTCTCCACATCCTCTCCAACTTTTTTTTTCTTACTGTCCTGTTAAACTTTGCTACTGAGTGAGATGGTATCTTATGGCTGTTTTGATTTGTATGTCTCTAATTACTAGTGTTTTTAAGCATTTCTTCTTATGTCTATTGATGATCCAAATATCTTCCTTTGTGAAGAGTCTTTGCATGTCTTTTTTCCATTTATTGGGCAATCAGTATTGCCCTGTAGTATTCTGTAAACTTTAGCTTTGAGACCCTTGTCTGAAATATCTTTGCCAAATGTTTTATCTCAGTCTGCAAGCTTTCTTTTCTCCCTCCTGAAGAAGGTTTTATACACACAGGGACTTGGTTCTTAGAAGATCCCATCTGTCAACTTCATCCTTTCCTGGTTGTAAATTACTGGCTGCATGTGCAAGTCTATGTATGCCATAGGCTACACGCTAAGGAAATCAGAACTGAGACATGAGTGGCGATATGTACACCTATGTTCATAGCAGCATCATTTACAACAGCAAGAAAATGGCCACCAACAGACAAATGGACTGAGAAACTGTGGCACATTCACACAAGGGGATGCTATGCATCACTAAAGAACAATGATTTTGTAAAATGCTATATAACACGGGAAAGTCTAGAGAGCTTCATACTGAGTGAAATAACTCAGGTCTCATAAGGACAAATACTGCATAAGAAAATTACTGTGAAAAATAAGAGAATAACTGAACAAGATCTGTATAAATGTTAAAAAGGGGACGGAGAATAGGAAAAAAGGGTGGGGAAAGGGAAAGGAGGGAAATCATTAGCTTAGCAGAAGTTAGTGGGCAGGTGGAAAGATAAAGGAATAGGAAAGATTCAATGGAGACTTGAAAAGACATGGTAATGGTAAGCTTATATCAATAGTAATTAATTATACAAAATACAGTGATAGGGAGCTCTGGTGGCCTAGTGGTTAAGAAACTGCACAGCAATCCTAAAGGCATGTGATTTGAATCCACCAGATGCTCAGTGAGAGAAGGACGGGCAGTCTCCTCCCCTGTGATTAACTGCCTCTGAAAACCCATAGGGTCAGCTATGGATCAGTTCTAACTCAATAGTACTCAACAACAACATATGAATGATTGCATGAAGCACATTTACATGAATGAACACAGTGTAAATGACAGATTGAATAGAACATAATGTACATACATGTATCACAATATAAATGAATAATTATATACAAACCAATAAAACTACAAGAAGAAGAAAAATCTAGAGCCTTCATGTCTACAAATAGGAAGCAGAGGGCAAAGCAGGAAAGAATGTCCCATTTTACAGTAGCAACAAAGATTTTTTTTTAAATGTGCAAAATATGCTTTTTATGGAAGGAAAGAATTTGGAATCCTGGAAACATTAATGTTAAAGTTTTTATCTGTTTATCTTTTTTATAATTTTTATTGATATTTTAATGAAAGTTTACAGAGAACTTATTAAGAAATTAATTTAACAAGAAATATCTCAAATATAGGTATGAGATGGGTTGACACAGCAGCTCTAAGAGTGGACATGAACATGGCAGGGATTTGAGGATGGTACAGGCTAGGCCAGGGTTTCAATCTGTTGTTCGTAGGGTAACTATGAGGTACAGACAAATCAATGCCACCCACCAACAACATGTAAGCAAAATATTAAAGACTCCTGAAAGATACAAAGCACAGTTGAACAAACGGAAACAAGCTTCTATTACTATAGGAAGTATCTCAGTATTGTAAAGACCCTTTTATCAAGACAACTCTTAAACACTAAAGAACACAAAGTCAAAACCTATCAAAAAATGAGGGAGATATATGACCAGGTAATTTGCTAAAGAAGAATATGAAAATGATCAACAAACATATAAAAGCGTATTCAGAGTTACCATAATTAGAGAAATACAAGTTAAAACAAGACTGAGATCCCATTTATAACCTGTCAGATTGACTATTATTAAAAACCCAGTAGTCTCTATTGGCAGGACACTCAGGCATTGCTGGTAGAAGGCAAATGGGTTACAAGGGATTGGGGCAGATTTGGCTTCACCTAACAAAAAAAATATGCTCTCCCTTTTTAATGCAGTAATCCCACATTTAGGAATCTACCTAGACCAACAGCTCCAACAATGAAAATAACCGTACAAGAATTCTCATTGCAGTATTAGAAAACAGATTAAATTTACACACATAAACTGTAGCATAGCCACAGTGGAGGACTTTGCGGCTGTAAAACATGGAATGATTTTCTGATTTCTAGAACATACTATTAAGTATAAAACAAAACTCAAAACAATCCAAACTCAACGGCTGTTGAGTTTATTCCAACTCATAGCAATCCTGTGGGACAGAGCAGAACTAGACTTTCTAAGGCTGTAAAGCTTTACAGAACACACTGACACAGGTTTCTCCCACAAAGTGGATGGTGGGTTCAAACCACTGTCATTTTAGTTAGCATCCAAATTCATAAACCACAGTACCACCAGGGATCCTTATTAAATTGGAAAAGCAAGTAGTTATAGCATAGTGGCCTAGTGGTTAGAAGTTGTACTGCAATCCCAAAAGCACATGGTTTGAATCACCCATTTGCTCTCTGGAAGAAGGATGCATTCCATGCAATTAACTGCCCCTAAAAACCCGCTAAAAGGTCGGCTATGGGTTAGTTCTGGCTTGATGGCACACAAAAATAACACATAATATCATAAAGAAGGGGAATCTAAGAAAATCACTCTGTTCATTTGTGCAAAAGAAAGGTTGTTCTTGTTATGTGCCGTCGAGTCGTTTGCGACTCATAGCGATCAACAGCCCTAAACCCTGCTGTATCCGGTGCCAATCGCACTGCCTCTGACACCCCCATCCCGATTACCCCAGTCACTGAATCAATCCATCTCATAGAGGGTCTTCCCCTCTTGTGCCATCCCTCCACACTTCCAAGCATGATGTCCCTCTCCAAGGACCTGTCTTTCCTTACAATATGTCCAAAGTATGTCAGACGAAGCCCCAGAATCCTTGCCTTCAAGGAGTAGCCTGGTTTAACCCTCTCCAGGATGAATCTGTTTGTTTTCTTGGCAGTCCATGGTACATTCAATACTCTTCTCCAGCACCACAGCTCAAAGGCATCAATTCTCCTTCTGTCTTCCCTAGTCATTGTCCAACTCTCTGATGCATAACAAGTGATTGCAAAGACCATGGTCTGTATCAGGCGCACCTTAGTCTCCAGAGAGACACCATTGCTCTTGAGTACTTTAGAGAGGTCCCTAACAGCAGACTTTCCCATCGCAATACGTTTTTTGATTTCCTGGCTACTGGTGCCAAGAGTGTTGACCGTGGAACACAAAGCATACCAAATGATTGTGCCTGTAATGCAGCTGGGTAATGTGACCACACTAGAGAGGACAGGAGCACAGGAAGTAAATCAGTCATTTGGAGAACAGCGATATTGGATATTATAAGCTTAAAGACAAAACAGCTGTGCATATATATATATAAATACCTAAAAGGAATAGAAGTGCTTGTTAGAATTGAACAGGTGGCAAATATATTATGTAAATAACACATTTATTATTAAATATCAGTTTTCACTATCTGAGAAGTAAGTTACAATCAAGGGAAGGGGAAGGTTAGCATGAACTCTAGTGTTGGACTAGAGGTGGAGGCATCAGCATAAACCCATGCACACATAAGATTAATGTGGGTAGAACCATTCACAGATATGTAGATATGCATGTGTGTGTGTGCAGGTTCCTAGGTCTTTGTGCTGAGAAGACCAACAGCAATGACTTCCCAGTAGTAGTAATGAGCACAACTAGTTTCCAAACCTATGCTTTGAAACTCCTTTCACCAATAAAAGGAGCAGAGCTCTGTGAAGAAGCAACTGATTACAACCCTAAATAGGACAAGAGGAAGCTAGAACGTTTTATGGTGATGAAAAATAAGGAAGCAATGTCAAAAGGACACAGAAAGCAACCTGAAGGTGGTCCCCATGGCCACTGTTGTTGTTGAATACCACCAAGTCATCTATGACTCATACCAACAGAAAGAAGCCCTGCCCCATCCTGTCCCAGGCTGTCCTCACAATATCTGCAGTTACAGTCATTATGTCAGTCCAGTGCATTCAGGCTTACCTTTCTTTTGATGACCTACCACCTTTCCAAACATGATGCCCCTTTCCAAGGAGTGGTCCCTCTCGACTACATGCCCAAAAGTTGTGAGACAAATTCTCATTATTCATGCCTCTAAGGGGCACACTGGCTGCACTTCTTTGAAGACACTCAGTGATCCAAGCTGGAACAACAGGAGCAGCAAAATAATGTCATATTGGATCATGGTCTATGGAATAATCAAACCAAAGAGGTCCAGGAGTCCATCTTGATAGAAGTGAATGAATGAATGAATGAAGTAAGTTATAACTTTTCCTTAAAGAATGACAAGAAGTATAAAAAGAGTGAGAGAAATATAAAATCACCACTAGTAACATCCATGAATGTGCGCAAAAATCAGTGAGCAAAAAGTATGAGGAAAACAGGATATTACCGTAATCTACACAAAGCATTTCCCTCCACCAAGAGATCTGTCAATTACAGAGGGGAAATCAGTAATTGTAAGTAGTGGAGAAACCCAGAAAACGCCAATTCAGCCAAGAGATCATGACCAGTTTCACCAGCAATAAGGCATTGGCAACATGAACCCTTGACTGATCCGCTATCACGTTCTTGCCAAAAGTATCTAATTTCAATTCTTACCCCTAAACCACAAGGGCTCCCATAGTAGGCTAGGAGGGTTAAATCATGATGTGAGACCCAAACACTGTGTCTGGCTCACAGGAAAACTTCCATGAGTGCTGAGTTAAAATATCAATCCAATAAGAAAGCAGACCCCACCCAGCACTCTCTCTTCTCTCCCCTGCAGGCCCTGGTCTGGCCTTCATTGCCTATCCCAAGGCTGTCACCATGATGCCGCTCTCTCCTCTGTGGGCCACCTTGTTCTTCATGATGCTCATCTTCCTGGGTCTGGACAGCCAGGTAAGGGGACTAGGGTAGGAGGCAGCAGGCGGGGCAGCAGGGATGATGATACTCTGCAGGATGGATCCAGGCTCCACAGCTGGTCAGGGCCCTGCCCATGTGCCCACCTACCTTCTTCCCAGCACAGCCTGCAGTCTGCTAGGTGATTCCCACAGTCACTTTAGTAACTGGATGTGTCCTTGCAAATCTTTACAAACCTTCTTTTCCTCACCTAGAATTCACTCCCAATCCTGGTGTGGTTTTAATTGCTAAATGCTTCTGCTAGGTCCAGTGTCCCCAGCAGCACCAACTGCTACAACGGAAGGAGCTCTTCTATAAGCGGTACCCTGGCTCCTTCTTAGGATACTTAACCCTGCGCTGTCCAAAACATCACTCCCCCAACCCTCTGTCTCTGTCTGGGCCTCTGGATCCCATTCCCACGGCAACCTGCCTTCTGGGTGAAAGATAGTCACATGTCTATCCACTTGTGCATTTTCCCTTTCCCTTTTCTCCCCCAGAAAGCACACACTTACATCTTCCCACACTTGGAGCAGGACCTCCCTCCAACCTGCGCTCCCAGCCCAGCCCGGTCTACCCACTGTGGAGGTATCCTTGCTTCCCCTTCCATGCTGACCCAGTTGATAACATAAACCAGAGAATTTCTCCCAACCAAACCCAGAGGTCTACTACAAGCCTGCAGGCCTACAGAAGGACAGGCTTGTGCTAGGCAGAACATTTCTAGATGCATGAGCCCCAGTTTTAACAAGGCAGCTTGACCGGCAGCATGGGTAAAGGACTGTCTCCCCTCAAGCTCCAGGGCTGCAGCAGGACCCACCCCACAGCCTCTCCTCCCCTTACTCTGCTGAGAGTAGCTCCTTGTTTGTTCTGTGACATTGGAAAGCTCACTTAACATGCCTGCCCTGTGGCCCACATGTCTGTCAGTCCAACCAAGTCTAATTTGTTCCCCCGAGCGAGATTTTCAGAGACGACTAAGCCGAGCAGCAGAGGCACGGGTGTTTCTGCTGATAATCTTCATTTCATTCAGTCTGGTTTCCATTGTCAAGGGTGGAGGCTGCCCGCCTTGGCAGTGGTGTGAGGGTGGGGGCATGCGATCTGTGAATCTCTAGGTTCAGCCAGGACACCTTTTATTTGCAAAATGGGGAAGAAAGGAGGGGTGCCTCATCTACCAGCAGTTTGGCAGAGAGGATGGGGCCTCTGTGCCCACCACTGTGCACACTACCTTGCCATACTCGCAGGCTGGGCTGTGCTATTACAGCAGAACCCCAGTCCATTGTCAAGGCATCATTCCCACTGTCGATGAAGAAACTGAGGCTCCAAGATGCTGGGAGACTTCCTGAAGCAGAATCTCTGAGCTGGTACTCTCTGCTGGGTCTTTTGCTCCTGGTGTGACAGTGTTCTCAGAACCCTCACTCCCTTCTTCCTGGGCACTTGGAGAGAGCAAGACACAGCCAGCCATGTGATAGAGGCAGGTTGACTGAGGCTCCAGCCTAGCTTCAAAGCCAGACCTGGGTTTGTGCCAGCACCTCCACTTCCTAGCTGTGTGACTCGTGGCCTTCTCTGTTATCCAGACCCTTTGTCTGCATACGGAAAAAGCAGAAGGGAATTGAAGCCAAGAAAAAGTTCCAAGGCAGGGAGGCCTCCCACATTTTGACAAGCAAAAGGTGTGATTCCTCTTCGCTGCTCCCCTTCTTTGCTTCCTTCCTTTCTTCCTCCAGACAGTCCATCAGAGTGGCTAACTCCCAAATTCTGGACCAAGATCAACCTCTTGCCATGATATTCATTTGACTCATGATGACCCTCCTCCATTAAGTGTTCAAGGCTACAAATCATTTCCCCCTGATAACTATCTATTAGTGGTACTTCCTTTTTTAATTTATTCATTCATTGTTGTGCATTTCCCCCTTGCCTGCCCCTCCTCTTTCGCCAGCCCACTTTGTAAGCCTACGGGAGGAGGCTGTCCATCTTTCTCCAAACTTCTGACCTTTCAGTTTAGCAACCCAGCACAATATGTACTCCTTCCAGAGGGCTCCTTGGAGAACGAGGACCTGCCTCCCATTATGGCTCTCCTCCGTAATCCCCTCCCAAGTCACTTAACCTACCCAGGCTCCAGTATCTGCCCTTACAAAGTGGCTCTAATAGTAACACCCACCATCTAGAGATGTGCAACCTGTAGATTGAACTGCTTAGAATAAGGCCAGCACATGGCAACTGTGGTTTGGCTGCAAGTCAGGGAACCATTAACAGTTCCAGAGGGCAAACCAATGAAATCCTTTCCCTAGGGCTGGCCAGAACCTGCTGCCCCTTGTTTATTGATCAAGTCTTTTTATAGCGTCTCCTCTGTGTCAGGATACTGGAAAAAAATCATTACCATGAAGTTGATCCCACTCATTAGTAAGAGTATAGAACTGTGTTCTTCAGGTTCCTCTCTGGCTGATGTTTTGGGAAGTAAAGCACCTGACCTTTCTTCCAAGGCACTTGTGAGATGGCTTGAACTTCAAGACTTTCAGTTAGTAGTTACGTGCTTACCATTTGTACCATACAGGGTCACCAGCACTGGCAATAGATAAAGATGACAGAGACCCTGCCCAGAGGAATGTAGAAAGGAGCAGCTGTTAATAAGCAAGGGCCTGCAGATATGAGTGCCCAGAGCACTGAGGAGGAGACCAGCAGAGAGAGTCAGGAAGGAGATCTCCCCAGGTGTTGTGCAACCCCAAAGGAGGGCGGTCCATGTGTCAGGGCCCAGGGGCTGTGGGTGCCGGGTATGGATGGGTGAACAGGTGTGGGAGGCCTGAGGGCTATGGTCTAGGTCTGCAAGGATTGGTCAATGCCCAGAAACTCACACAGTGAAAGCATCAGAGTGGGACATTGACCTCCTCCTGACCCTGCTGGGAGAGGGGTTCTTCCCTAGGAAAGGCACTGCAAGTCAGGGAACCATTAACAGTTCCAGAGAGCAAGCAAATGGAATCCTTTCCCCAGGGCTGGCCAGAACCTGCTGCCCCTGCTAGGGTCCTTTCAAGCAGGTTCAGAGACTTTTGTTTCTCTCCAAGGATAGGGGCTGGGCCTCATCTAAGTCAGTGAACTGGAACAGGGTAAGCATACTGGAGCAGAGGTATGCTAGATTTAGAGGGAGAAGTCCCTGGCTTCAGTTTTGACTGACCCTCCTAGCTGAGTGGCCTTGGTCAGGTGACTTCCCTCTGAGAGCGGCAGCATCCTCAACTGTGAAATGAGCATAGGCGCTCAGTATATGCTGGGAGTGCTGTGATGTTTGGACCCAGTCAGTGAACGTGGGTGACATCCTGGCAAGAATCAAGGGTGTAGCCCCACTGTGCATGCCCAGAGCCAGAACCACTAGGAACTTTTCTCAGATTTCACACCATCCTCTCTGTCCTGTGCAGTTTGTGTGTGTGGAAAGCCTGGTGACTGCTGTGGTGGACATGTACCCCAAGGTGTTCCGGAGGGGCTACCGGCGGGAAATGCTCATTCTGGCCCTGTCCATCATCTCCTACGTCCTTGGACTCATAATGCTGACAGAGGTGAGTGATGCAGTCAGCACAACTATCAGGCATGCCTGACACTAATATCCAGATCAGAAAGGACCAGCTGTGTCCCTTGCACTTGTCTACTTCCTTGCACCTTAGTTTTCAGAGGCTTTGAACCTAGTTCTTGCCAAATCACTCATAGCCAGTGACACAAAGCCAGAGTGGGCCAGGATCTCCACAGTGTGTGTGAACCGTGATGGTAAGCAGAACTGGAGAATTGCAGGTTTAACTGATGGATGCAAGGCTGCACATGTGAGCCTGGGCTGCAGGTTTAACTGATGGATGGATTCAAGGCTGCACATGTGAGCCTGGGCAGTGTGCATAGCCCAGAACAGTTGGAAACTGCCGTTTCCCGCACCAACATGGCTGCCCCAGAGTGTGCATGGCACTCCACAACCTGGCAACAGTCCATCTCCCACATCAGCCTCACAAATGGCCTCATCCAGGTTTCCCTTTCTGCGATTTCAACCTGTCATTTCCTCTTTCCAGCTATTGTGCCTCCATACTAGAATTTAAAAAACTCCATCTGTTCCCGTTTTCTTCATCAGCTGTCCAAAGGCCGGTTTTTCTCAGGTTCTTCATGGGCTGTTTTGAGAATCAAGTAAAAGTTCTGTTTAAGCCTTTATGTTCTGCAGATGGTAACTGCTTTGGTAGCAAAGAGGAAAATTTTGCAGAAGGTGAAGCTGATTTGGTAGTGGTGAGCATCAGGAACTTTGGGGACAGGGCACAGTATCAGCCCTCAACTCCAGCACTAACCAGCTGCCACCAAGTCAGTTGACTCTTGATTACCCTGTGCGTGTCAGAAGACACATGTTGCATTAGGATTTCAGTGGCTGATTTTTCAGTCTTTTCTTCTGAGGTGCTTTCTTCAGGCGAAGCTGAACATGTTGGCACTCCCGAGAGTCTCATAAACTATTGTCTAGCATGCAGAACAGCTGTCCTGGGGCAGCTCTGAGAATAGATATAGGACAGGCACTGTGCCCCCTGCTTTGGCCCACTGTGTGCCCCTGCAGTGTCTGCAGGTGAGAAGTTCGCCATGATCTCCAAACTGAGAAAGCCATGCAGTTGTGCTCCTCTGTCTTCCGGCAGACCATCCTGTCTAATGTACTTCATCAAGTGTCTTGGGGAAGTGAAATAGCATTTTTTTTCTGTCCATACTCACATCAAATGGGGGTGAGGGGCATAATACTGTTGCTTGGAGATAAGAAGAGGTTTCATAAGAATCAAAAGAAACAACTGCTAGTTTCTAGTTGCTCTAGAAAGCATTTGAGTGGATGGGTCTGTGTTGAATCTCCTGGTCCTCTGCTTCTTTGCCCAGATGCCACCTCCTCCCGACAGCCTCTCTCTGCTTTTCTCTCCCTGGTCTAGAACTTCCTTACCTTTATATTCTCTCCTCCCCTAGCATGTCTCAAAGCCCAGGTAAGCATCTCCCCAACATTCCACCAACCTCATCTGCCTCCTCACTGGACTGCAAATCCCCAAGAGAACAGGACTAGGGGGACCCTCTGTGTGGAGGGCATTCTGTGTGGTGGCTGATGTTTCCACTGCTCCTGGTCATTGTCACATTCATGAAACTTAAAATCAACCTGGGAGTATATGAATGGTGTGACATCTCCGTTTTCACCTCGTCTCTCCCTTTGCATAGAAAATGGACCTGCAATGAGCAGGCCTCATTAAGCACTGATTACACAGATTGTTAAATATTTAAAAATTACACAATGCAGAGTCTTTTGTAATAAGCAGATTGGGGGCATCAACTTTGGAGAGGCTGCAGGGACATGTGTGAAAGGGACATGTGCCTAGAAGCAGACAGGAGGATGATGAGCCTCCCCATGCAGCCTGGCCTTCAGAGTCAGGGTGCCTGCCCCCATTTGAGCCTTGAGATCTGCTGATTAATCACTGGGCACTTAGGCTTCACAAGCTAGCCTTCCACTTCCACCAGGAATATGTGCTCGATTTCACCAGGGCAGTGGAATTACCAGAGAGGTTGTCAGCCGTGGCCTTTACAGTAATTCTTGGTACATTTGCAGAGCAGTTCCGGAGAAAGCAGGCCACCAATTTCCTTGCTTCTATAGGGCATGGTCTGGGACAGCTGAGACAGGGGTTCCTGGCTCAGCCTGCAACCCCTGGACCTAGCAGCTGGGTGACTTTCAGCAAATCTTCTCCAGTCTCTGCCTTCTTCACTCTGTGTCCTTAAGGGGGTTAACAGTAGTGTCTCACTAGTCATCATATTGGTAAGGACCAACCAAAAGCAGATGTGCCAAGTTGTTAGAGCCTGCCATGGGGTTATCTTTTCTCTTTAATGCGTGATGCTCCTTGGGAAGGCTGTGAGAAGTGCCCAGACCTGCTGACTGCTCACAGGCCTTGCTCTCCACAGCAGCTCTCAGTTACCAGTGGGTGGTCCCAGACCAGCTGTAGCTCAAAATCTGTTCTGCGTGGCCCTCACTCAGAGCATTTGATGAAATGATGAAGATGTTTCTCATGAGTGTCAGTATTTTTGGTGTCTCCCAGAAAACCCCCTGACCTGGGTCTGCACACCCCAACATTCAGGGTCCTGTGGCCAGAATGGAGCCCGTGCTGTCTTAGTTGCAGCCCCACCCCCCGTGTCCTCCTACCCCACATCTGGCCTACTTTCCTCATTTGCCTACCTGCCTGCCCCTGTGAGCGGCTGATGTTCCCATGAACCAGGTGAAGAGACGAAAGAGGAAGCAAATCAGCCTAGGAAGTGTGTCTGTAAGTGGCAAGGAGACTGTAAAGGCTGTGGGACAGGGCAAGGGGTGTTTGGCTACATGTTGGTATGTGTGGCAGCCATGCTTCAGCTGGCCTCTTTGTTCCTGTCCTGACAGTCAGAAGCCCCCAACCTAATATTTCCTCCTTTTCCATTTTACCCTCCCTACTCTTGAGTGCCCCCCTAAGCTTCATTATGTCTTATAGATATTCCTGATAGATGCCAGCTTTCCCCTTCTACAGCCTAGCTCATCTCCTTCATGTCACCCTCCCAGAGCAGCCTGCCACTTCACCTGGCCAGTAGAGTTCCCATCTCCTGGGGCACCCACTGAACTTAAGCCTCAGGGTCTGTGTGCTATGCATTGGTCCCAGTGGCTCCCTCATCCCACAGGACTGACTGGGTACTCCCTGTGCTAGATACCACGCCACACATAGAGATAGTTGCCCTCCCATGGAGCTCACACCCACTGTGGGTCAGCTCAGGATGGTGGTATACCTTTGAGGGCTTGGCACAGTGCTGAGAACTGGCAACACAAGGGAAGTCAGCTGGGGATCTTGCTATGTAGGGGCTCAGAAGTGACAGAACAATGGACTAGAGAACACTTTTCCTAAAACAAAACTGAGTCCCTAAAATGCACTGTTGTGTGTTGTCAAGTCAGCCCCATAGCTGACCCCCCACAGGGTTTTCAGAGGCCATTAATCATATAGAAGGAGGTAGACAACCTATCCTTTTCCTACAGAGGAGCTGGTAGATTTGAACCTTTGGGATCACAGTGCAGCTTTTTTTTTTATCATGTGTGTTTTTTTTAATACTAGTTTGCTTATAAAGTTAATATACATTGTGTTTCACACTATTGCTCATTCACAATGTGTTTTATACACTCATTCTCATGCATTATGTTTTATGAAATTAATCACCATTGGACTGTGCCCAAAAGGAAAAAAGTTTCCAGAGCTCCCCAAAATGTGCTAGGGTGACCCAAGGAAAGAATAAGGCCAAGGTATCAAGGGGCTTATCAAAGAGCTAACCTCTGTTCTGTGCTGAGTGAACAGAATAGCATGCACAGAGAAGCATAGAGGTGACTGTCCCGTGGTCTCCAGGACGGGCATATTGGATATAGCTGATAAGAGGGGAAATGAGGCTATTGGAAGTGGGTAGCCATGATTGGTAGGTTGAAGGAGGACCAAGGTTGTGCAACAATGGGGATAGCATGGGATGGGCTGTGGATGATTGGAGAGGACCAGCCTGGAAGCAGGCAGGAGGCTGTGCGGCCATTAGGAGACATGCTGAGGTTCTCCAACCTCAGGTCTGGTTTTGGTTTTGTGGTCCTCTGACCTTCAGGGAGTAGGGGTTGGGGGACTGAGACAGTGAGACAGGAGGGGCAATCCACAATCAGCAGACTGCAGAGGATGGCATATCAGGAGTGTGGGGATGCCTGTGTGTGGAGTGAACCAGTTCTGTCAGGTGAATGAGAAGCCATTTGTGAGGAGCAGGCCCCTGAGAATTTGGATGATGGGAACCCACAGGGCCGAACTGAGTGACCCTTCCCGAGACCTGCTGGGCTGACCTGTAACTATGTCCATCTGCTTCCTAGGGTGGAATGTATATCTTCCAGCTATTTGACTCCTATGCGGCCAGTGGCATGTGTCTCCTCTTCGTGGCCATCTTCGAATGTGTGTGCATCGGCTGGGTGTACGGTGAGTCAGGCTGCCGGGGGCCAGAAGGCAGCTGCGCATAGCTTGGCCAAGTCTTCCTCTTCTCTGGGCCTCCTTGACCTCTTCCCACTTATCAGATGTTCCCCAGCCAGTGGAGGGAACCTGAGCAAGCCCTGACTAAAGCTGTTCCCATGCAAGATGAAGGCTTCACCATCAGGTCTCCAGATCTAGGATGGTGTGAACCACACTGATCCACAGCTAGTAGCCACATCCTCCTCCTCTTGACCCCAAGCAAACAAGCTTGAGAGAGCTACTTGGTGATGGTGTCACTCTGTCCTCAAGACCCTCCTGCCCCAACCTTCATCTTTATAGCTCTGCCTTGCCTCTCCAGAGGGCTTTCCTTTAGCTTTTGTCCTACTTCCTACCCATTGCTCAGGAATGTTCTTCCCTTGACCAGACCAAAATGTCCCATATTTCACACGTGAAGTGGGGCGGGGGGAGGTTTTAGCTAGAAAGAGGTCGCAACTACATTTTTCTCAGGGTCAAGATGAACTTTGTTTCTAAGTTTTGAACAAGCATTCTCTGAGATGTGTCTCTTATTCTGAACAGGAAGCAACAGGTTCTATGATAACATTGAAGACATGATTGGCTACCGGCCATTATCCCTCATTAAATGGTGCTGGAAAGTGGTGACGCCTGGGATCTGTGCGGTAAGAGATCCCACCTACAGCCCCCCCTCCATCTGCTCACTCTCCAATCTGGAACCCTAGAGTCCCAGCCCAGTGATGGCTGAGTGAGGGAGTACAGCACCCCTGGGATACCTCCTCTTTGTATTCAAGACCCCAGAGCCTTGTGAAGCTGTAGTCATGAGGAGAAACTCCAGGCTTTGTGAGGGAGGGTCACATACAGATCCCACTTCTGCCACCACCTTGCTGTCCTAAATCCATGCAGTCTGTCCTATGGCAGTAGGAATGTTGTGCTCTGTTGTTAACTGTTGAAGCATCAGATTTAGCATAAGGTAGCCATTTATGTTGTGCCTATCAGATCAGAACACAGAAGGACCTTTGTGAGTTAATGCTTTAAAAAAATTCACACACTTTTGGCATTAGGTTGATTGTAAGACGTTTTCACAGACTGTTCTCTGGAAAGCAACTTTGAACCAGCACTGAGAAGTTCATCAATGCCATTATGTCGATTCCAACTCATAGCAACGCTACGTGCAACCCATCTTCACAGTTGTTACCACGTCGGAACCCATTGTTGTGACCACTGTTCCAATCCATCTCCTTCCTTGTAGGTCTTCCTCTTTTTGCTTTACCCTCTACTCTACCAAGCCTGTTGTCTTCTCCAGGGGCTGGTCCTGCCTGATAATTTGTCCAATGTACAATATTAAATCTCACCATTCTTGCGTCTGAAGAGCATTCTTACTCTACTTCTTCCAAGTTAGACATATTTGTCCTTGTTCATGATATATATTCAATATTATGCCATAATTATAAAACATCAATTCTTTGGGTTTCCTTTTCCTTATCCAGCTTTATAATGCATATGAGTTGATGACTTAAATTAGACAAACCTTAGTGGCATCTTTGCTTTTCTGTGAGTATTGATTATGAATTTTTAAATCCTTGAGAACTCTAATATTGTATATGCTTTTCATGATATTCCTGTTGGTTCAGTTGTGGAGGCTTTTTGTTTTCTTTATATTCAGGTGTAATTTATACTGAAGTCTTTGATCTTCTTCAGTAAGTTCTGCAAGTTCTTTTAAGTTCAGCAAGGAGAGTTGTGACCTCTGTGTATGCATGTTTTTTATACGGTTTCTCCAGTCCTGGTGCCACAATCTTTTTCATATAGTCTGGCTTCTCAGATTATTTGCTCTGTGTGTAGATTGAAAAATACGGTGAAAGGATAGAAACTTGCTGCACCCTTTTCCTGATTATAAATCACGCAGAATCCCCTTGTTCTACTCCAACATTTGCCACTTGTCTAAGGTAGAAATTCCTCACAAACATGTCCCCATTCTCTCAAATATTACTCATAATCTATGCAATTGAATATCGCTGCATTGTCAATAAAGCACAGGTAAACCTCTTTCTGGTATTTTCTGCTGTCCACCAAGATCCATCTGACATCAGCAGTGATATCCCTTATTCTGTATTCTCTTCTGAATATGGCTTAAATTTCTAGAAGTTCTTTGTTTATAAACTGATGTGGCCATTTTGGGGGTGGTTTTTTTTTTTCATTTTCAACAAAATTTACTTGCATGTGATATTAATAATATTATTTGTTAATTTCTAACAGATTAGATTATCTTTCTTTGGAATAATCATAAATGTCTCTTCTAGTCCATTGGCCAAGGATCTATCTTCCAAATTTCTGAACCTAAATCAATACGTCTTCAGTAAAGCTTAGACTTCTTTCATAACAATTGATTCTTGAGCTTCTTCTTTCTTCAGAAGTGGTCAAAGATTGGCCAGTTCTTTGTGGTGCAGTGATTGTATTCTTTCCATCTTCTTTATATGCTTCCTGTGTTGTTCATTATATTGCCAACAGAATTTTTTAGTATAACAACTTGAACCTTGAATTTTTTCAATTCTTTCATCTTCAAAAGTGCTAAACATCTTCTTCCTTTATGGGTTTTTTTAACATCAAGTCTTTGCACATTTTCTTGTAACAAGTAACAATTTACTTTGTGTCCTCAGGCCCTTTGAGAACATCTGTTTCTCTCTTGTTTTGTCTAATATTCATTTTGGTCTTATCTTTTTCCTTTTTCTTTCTTGTAGACAACCTTTAACTTTCTTTAGGAACTCTACTGTCATGGTCAAGACAAAGGCCAAATGTCTCTGGCTGCTTGAATCCATCCACTGCTCCTTGTAAAGGTTTGCAGCCTCAGGAACATGACAGAGGCTTGCTGGGAGTCTCAGTCATCTCAGTTTGACAGCAATGAGTGAGTTTACTTCCTTGGTCATAACTCATAACTCACTTGGTCTTCTTTCATTAGTGTCACTCCATTAAATGTATTCTAAATGGTCTCTAAATTCAGGTGGGAAGTACTCAAGGTCATACTTTGACTCTCATGGACTTGTTTTAATATTCTTCACCTTCAACTTGAATTTGCATAAGAGCGACTGCTTTGCAGTTGGCTCTTGGCCTTATCCTGATTGATAATATCGATCTTCTTTATCATTTATTTCCATAGATATAGTTTATTTTATTTTTGTATATTTCATCCAGTGAGGCCCACATGGATAGTCTCCATTTATGTTGTTGAAAAAGGCAGTTGTAGTGAATAAGAGACTGTTGTTGTTATGTGCCATCAAGTTGCTTGCGACTCATAGCGACCCTATGTACAGCATCCCTAAACTCTGCTCTGTCCTCTGCCAATCGCACTGTCTCCAACACACACATCCCGATTACCCCAGTCACTGAATCAATCCACCTGATAGGGGGCCTTCCCCTTCTGTGCTGTCCCTCCACCCTACCAAGAATGATGTCCCTCTCCAAGGACCTGTCCCTCCTTGCAACATGTCCAAACTATGTTAGACAGAGCCTTAGAATTCTTACCTCCAAGGAGCAGCCCGTTTTGACCCTTTCCAGGATGAATCTGTTTTCCTAGCAGTCCATGGTACCCTCAATACTCTTCTCCAGCACCACAGATCAAAGGCATCAATTCTCCTTATATCCTCTTTAGTCATTGTCCAACTTTCTGATGCATAACAAGTGATAGCAAAGACCATGGACTGTATCAGACACACCTTAGTCTCCAGAGAGACACCATTGCTCTTCAGTACTTTGGAGAGGTCCCTAACAGCAGACTCTCCCATGGCAATACATCTTCTAATTTCCTGGCTGCTGATGCCGAGAGTGTTGACTGTGGAGCCAGGCAAACTGAAGCTGTTCTATCATGTGCTCTCCAGGATCATTTCTGTCACCATGACCATATTGTCTGACTACCTGACTTGTTTCCAGCTTTCACATTCCAATCACCATTAGTTATCAGTGCATTTGATTGCGTGTTTGACCGATTTCAAACTGCAAAAATATTCAGCTCATCTTTGACATTAATAGTTGTTTATGTACATGAAAAAGAATTATATCAACTATATTATGGTTATCTGTTCACTTATATCCATGTGGATATTGCCCTATTACTGACAACATGGTAGTTCAGGATGTTGTTGTTGTAGTGTGTCAATCAAGCCAAACCTAACCCCTAACTCACCCTCCGGTGAGTTTTCAGAGGCAGTAAATGGCACTGCAGAGCTGCTAGTAGATTTGAGGTGTGTTACCACTAGGCCGCCAAAGATCTAGAAAAGTTCTTTTTAATGTTGAATGTGACACCATTCCCCTTCAATTTATAATTCTCAAAATAGTAGACACCATATGAACATCTAGGTCACAATGGCCAAACATAGTCCATTTCAATTCACCAAGTACCTAACGATATTGACATTTATGTGTTCCATTTCATTTTTTATTACTTCTCATTTTTCTATATTTGTATCTCATACATTCCACATTGAGATTATTAATAGATGTTTACAGTCATTTCTTCTCCTTTGAGTCTTCCCACAACAGCATCTGGGGCTCTTGGCAGCTTTACTCTATCCACATCATTATAGTAGACTCTACTTTGAGGGAATAGCTCTTCCCCAGTCCATTTTGCATCCTTTCCAACCTGAGCATCTTCCTGCACTATAACAGACAACGTTTTGCTGCTATTCACAAAGTGTGTACTGGATAATTTTTTTTAAAAGGTAAAGAATCAAGTTTTTCTTAGGAGTTAAAGAAAATAAAGATTCCTGACTGAGCAGAGACTGGGAAGCAGGTGCTTCTTGAGGATGTGCGGGAAGGATCTTAGTGTTGTGGCCCCAATAATTGTGATCTGGGAGCTGGCGTTCCATTTGCTGTGTGCCTGGTGCTGGTGGGAAGGAACTGTGAAGCTCACCACCAGATATGGCCTCGCCGCTCCAGCCTTATCCCTCCGCCACTGCTGGCCACCCAACAGGTCTGTACTCAGCCCTGCCTGTACACAGCACAGGGGAACAGCCTCCTCTGTCACTGTTCTCCCTCCTGTCTGCAGGGCATCTTCATCTTCTTCCTGGTCAAGTACAAGCCACTCAAGTACAACAACATCTATACCTACCCAGCCTGGGGCTATGGCATTGGCTGGCTCATGGCACTGTCCTCCATGTTCTGTATTCCGCTCTGGATCTTCATTAAGCTGTGGAAGACTGAGGGGACGCTGCCTGAGGTGAGACATCCACATCCAGAGGGCTAGTGAGCCTGGTTAAGTCCAGGAACCTCCCCAAACTCCAGCTTCCTCATGTGGACAATGGACACCTTTGTCTTAGGGATGTGGTGGCAGACTTCTCCCTGGCACTGGCACATGTTGATCTTTACAATGGTGACATTCCTCTTTCTACCCTCAGACTTCAGGATCAGTTCTGATGAGCACAGTCTCAGTTTCTTCATCTGTAAAATGGAACAACAATTGTCCCTAACTTATACAGGTTATGGTGAGGATTCATTAAGTTAATAGATAGAAAGAACAACCAGAAACTGGAGCCCAGAGAGGGACTGAGCATAAACACTTCTATTGTGTTCCCTAAAGACTTCATTTCCAGGGCAAATGGCAAGGGTCGGGCATTCTGAAGAATACCTTGCCTGTTCCCACCTCCAGGTCAGGCCTCTTCATGCTCTGTATGTTTGGTCCTCAGAGAGCCCAAAGTGACAAGCACCATCTCTGCATTTAACAGGTGGGGTAAACTGAGGCTCAGAGAAGTTAAGTTGTTCACCTAAGATCACACAGCCAAAAACGAACAGGCCAAAAATTTTTAACCACATTTATCAAGCTATGTTTCACATGTCATGAAACTGCGTGATTTCTAGTGCCTTGACTAAAAGTGTCCATTCCAGAACATTTTTGTTGTTCTGATAACCTCTGTCAGCCGAGGGCAGTTAATCCTTTTCTCACCCCAGCAGCCTCTCATCTGCTTTGGCCTCTGTGGTCTGAAGTCAGACACTATGTGGACCTGTTAGCAAGTAGACAGCTTGTGTCCAGGGCACTCTGAACCTGGCGTCAGTGCTGGTTTCTCATTTCTTTAGCAGTTACTGTGTGTCTGACACTGCTCCAAGCAGCTTACAGTTAAGCTATAGTATCCTCTTGGGGGCCCTCTGAGGTGGGGACCCATGTCATAGATGAGGCAACTTACCTGAGGACACACAGCCACCCAGTGGTAAAGGGGAAGCTCTAGAGTCTGCTCCCAGGCCCTGAGCATATGCAGGACACTCCATAGCTGGACACATCTCTCCCTGGCACTGGGCCCAAGAGTCTTGGAGCTGGCCCTTGTCACCTAGACCAGGACAGCTGAAGATGTGTGCACAGACTCAGTGATAATTACCAACCCAGAGTCTGCATCACCCCACACACCCTCCATTGAGGGACCCATGACTGCCCTGAGACCCAGAGTCTACGTCACCCCACCCACTGTCCACTGAGGGACCCAGAACAACTCAGAGACCCAGAGTCTACGTTACCCTACCCACTGTCCACTGATGGGCCCAGGACAGCCCAAACAGGGAGCCATGGACATGGCCCCTTTCTCTGTGCTGCTTAAGCCCCCACCACCCAACCCACTCAGTGAATCAGACTCCCTGCAGAGAATATCATTTGGGCAGTCAATTAATCCTTCTCATCTGGACCGAAGTGCTCAGAGGGAACTGTGTTACCTGGGTCTCTCAAAACTTTTGCTGGAACTTCCAAGGGCCCAGAAATAAATGCCCACCATCCCCTAGCAAATTCTCCAGATTCTGTCAGGTGTGCTGGACAGAGGGAGAGTGGGTGTGAGAGTCAGGGAGGAGGCAGCTTCCCTGGCTCCCCTATTTTCTTACCACACACTAATGGACACGTCTTACACACCATCACCTCACACCTTTTTCAGCAGATTCTGCAAGGAGGTACCACTGTTGTGCCCATTTCTCAAATGGGAAAACAGAGAACCAAGGAAGTCTATTTATTGTAAAGAAGGAACAGTATGTGTCTGAACTGGAGCCCAAATGTAGGTTTGATGATCCCACAACCTGGAGGTACAGACCTGAGGACCACAAAGTGACAGCTCCCTCACACAGCCCTTCTTCTCCTTTTCAAACATCCAGAAACTCAGGAAGTTGACAATCCCCAGCGCAGATCTGAAAATGCGAGGCAAGCTTGGAGAACGTGCAAGGACGGTGCTGGCTAATGACTGTGACGCCAAGCTCAAGGGCGACGGGGCCATCACAGCCATCACAGAGAAGGAGACGCACTTCTGAGCCTCCCTGGTCATCCTCAGCCTTCCACCCTGCCCTTTCCTGTGTGTTTGTAAATGAACCCCTGAAACATGTGCTTCACCTAAAGTTAGGGGCCAGCTTGTTTTGCACAAGATTTATTAACATGGCTACTGTGCACTTTGGTTTAAGTCATAACCCTCTCGACTCCCTGATCATGCAAGTAACCATTTAAATGAGATAACACTGTACAGTGACTAGCAAGATCTTGTCTTAGGGTGGTTTTAATTAGCATTTTCTAGAGTTGTGTAATATTGTCGAACTTTTCTACTTGGGCCTTGGGAAAGGGGGGTGGGTGTGGTCTCTGGCCACCTCTGTAAGCCGCACCCAGGGTCACCGCTGCCTGTCTGTGGCCACTCCTTCTGGGGTCCTTTCCCCAGCTCTAACTTTGTGGCAAGGCCATGCAGCAGAGAAGAGGTTCCACTAGGGCCCTCTGCCTGCATCTCACTAAGTGACCTTGGGTATCGCCTTTCACACTCTGGGCCCCAGTCTTCCCTCTGCCCAATAGGAGGTCCCAGCAAGCCTCTCACAGGTTCTCTTGGACCTCCTTGCTGGCTTGCATAACTGACACTGATCTTGGGGTCCTCTGAAAATGCTTGGGGCACAATGGCTCCATCTCATCTGTTTATGAAAGCCCTCATGCATTAATGATTCAATTTGATCATAGAGATGCTGTAATGATGGCTTGTTTCCCATGGCTCTGTATGTGACATCCACATCCAACAGCCTCCCTCTTCCTTTGTGGCCCCGTCTGCCTCTCATCCACTCCCACCCTCAGCTTCCTCCTGCATTCTGGGCAGGCTGGTTGGAGCAGGATCCCTTTTGCAGGGACTGGTTTTCTGGGTCAAGAAAGCCTGTTCCCCAGACAGCTGTGTTTCTCCTGCTCCTGACTCTCACCACAGGAGCTGTTTTAGGGCATACCAACCCCCAGGGGAAAAGGGCCACAAGGACACTACTTCCTGGCACCTCCCTCTCCTCCTGCCACCTCTTCCTCCCATCCTTCCTGTCTTCTGGCACCTGCCTGGGGGGCTTCCTTCTTCCCTTTTGCCAAAAGCCCTGCTCCTACCTCCTTACGTGCCCTTTGCTTACTTGGAGTCCCTGAGGGGCAGGGACTGTCCCCCACCTCAGACCATCCATACTTGGCTGCAGGCTGCTCCATCTGACCTCCTCTCTCCATGGATCTTATTTCAAGCTCCTGCCTGGAACTCCAAGATATGCAGGTGATGGGAAAAGGTGGTTTTCTTCCTTTATGCTCCCAATTTTATTTGGTGGAATCTTAAGCTTTATGCAGCCAAGATTTTTGTTTCCTGTGGGCCTGAAGGCATGTGAAAGAATTCCTACCTTAGTGTGAAGAGGCGCCTTCAGTTTGATTAACTGGTGGCCTTCCTGCTGTGCTGCCCCAGAACCTGGGCTTGCTCTGAGTGGTGCCTAGTGCTCTTCACTGCAGAGTGGACACCTGGCCCAGACTCTCCCAGCGACTTGGGGACAGGAACCACTGCCCTCTCCAAGGTCCAGCCTCTGCCTTGAGCTCTCATCCCATGCACCTAGAGGACCAGTCTGGGTGGGTCATCCTGGTCTGCCCTCCTTCCTTCTTGTAGGTCCCAGGCAGGGAGACCTCCGATCCCCATACTGCTGCTACTACGGGACCTTTTCCACCCCTCTCACAGATACACGGGGCCTGTGGTCTGTCTTCGTACTGTGCCATACACATGGCACGTAACACTTGCCATACTTAACACTACTCATCAGTCAAGGCAGGGGGAGGAGTTGGGGACTTTTTTTTTGTTTGGTTTTTTTGGGTTTGTTGTTTTGTTTGGTTGGTTTTTTGTTTTGTTTTGTTTTGTTTTGTTTTGTTTTGTTTCCTACTAGTCTTTGAGTAACTTGGGGGTGGGAAGGGAAACATGGGGGCAAGGGAAACACATCATTGTGATGACTTTTTTGATATTCATTAGAAACAATACATCCTTTTCTGAGATATTTACAGTATTATTAAAGAAACAAGGTTGTACTGGTTTGCACAATGAATGTTTTTATTTGGTGCTGAAAGGGCACACGATTGTCTGCTTGCTTGTTTTTAAAAATTAAAGACATGAACAAACTAGCTGGATTGTTCCCAGCAGAGGGAAACTCTCTTCCTGTCTTGGTCACCTCCATGAAGCATTCCTGAAAAGCCATCTTGGGCCCCCGCTGTCACAGTAAAGCCTGTCACAGGATAGAAAGGTCTAGTGATCATGGCCACACTGCCATTCACAAATAGATATGCCACTTACCAGGTGCCAGGAGTTCCTGGGTGGGGCCAATGTTAAATGCACAGCTATAACTAAAAGTTGGTGGTTTGAATCCACCTGGAGGAGCCTCAGAAGACAGCTTGGCAACCTATTCAGGATGGGCAGAGAGCAATGAAAATCTTAGACACTTCTGCTCTGCATCCATAGGGTTGTTGAGAGCCAGGATCAGCCCAAAGGTACACGGTTCAAGTCCTCCAAGTGCTCTGTGGGAGAAAGATAGTCAATTTCCTCCCTTAAAATTTCCAGCCTCTGTAAGCCCACTGACGGGTCTGCTATGAGTCTATTTAGACCTGACCTGGCCTGGCTTGGGCTCCAGCACTGCCTCTTGCTGGCCTCTCCACCCTTGTTTTGCATAGAGATTGTAAACAGTAGTACTCTACTTACACAGGTTATTGCTCCCATGGCCACAGACTGCTTATGATATTGTTCAGAATGAAACAAAAGCATCACCTTTGTACAGGAGGTCTTCAGGTGGCTGTACCAGCCCTTAAGAGCATGTGTGCGTTGTGCCAGTCTGTGGTCCAGTGCAGACTCCAGTGTGTGTCCAGGTCTGAACTCCCTCATCTGGACCGGGCCCTATTTCAGCCACTCATCCTCACTGACTCACGGGAGCAGAACCCCACAAATCTCTAGAGTACAGAAAATCCAGTTACTCCACTGAGTGTCTGAGAGCTTTATGGAGAAGATTGGTTCCAGACTCAAGCCCTGCTCTCAGAACTTCCAATCTAACTGACATCATATTCTCCTTCAGGAGAAAACAGGCAGCATGTGTGGGGGCCAGTGGGAGGAATAAAACTCCCCAGACATCCCACTAAGGCCATTCTGACTCATGCCGCCTATCAGATGCTCATGGCTGTAAACCTTAATGGGAAAAGACTCCCCACCAATGACCTTCCAATTAGCAGTCCTCCTGAGGAGGAGGAGTGAGGACTGTGCACCAAGTGAGCACCCGCACAACCCAGGCCTCCTTCCCATCGTCAGATCCCTCCCGTCTAAGTGCCAAGCCATTTCACAGATGAATAAACTCAAATTTAGAAAATCCTTTTCCCAAAATAAACTCCAGTATCTTTCCTTACTGGCCTGTTTTCTCATCTCTGGAGTTAGTATAATCTTATTAGGGGCTCTATGAGGAGACGCGTGGTGTCAGGATTGGTGGAGGATCTATCAACAATCTGCGTTATGCAGATGACACAACCTTGCTCACTGAAACTGAGGAGGACCTCATGCACTTAATGTAGAGGGTCAGGAATGCAGCCTTCAGTATGAAGTATGGACTGAGGCTCAATGTCAAGAAGAGAAAAATTCTCACGACTGGACCAATTGGTAGTATCAGGATGGATGGCGAAGAGATTGAGATTGTTCATATCTTTAGTTTGCTCAGCTCCACAGTCAACACTCTTGGCACCAGCAGCCAGGAAATCAAAAAATGTATTGCGATGGGAAAGTCTGCTGTTAGGGACCTCTCTAAAAGTACTGAAGAGAAACGGTGTCTCTTTGGAGACGAAGGTGCACCTGATACAGGCCATGGTCTTTGCAATCACTTGTTATGCATCAGAGAGTTGGACAATGACTAGGGAGGACAGAAGGAGAATTGACGCCTTTGAGCTGTGGTGCTGGAGAAGAGTATTGAATGTACCATGAACTGCCAAGAAAACAAACAGATTCATCCTAGAGAGGGTTAAACCAGGCTACTCCTTGGAGGCAAAGATTCTGGGGCTTCGTCTGACATCCTTTGGACATGTTGTAAGGAGAGGCAGATGCTTGGAGAGGGACATCATGCTTGGTAGGGTGGAGGGACAGTGCAGAAGGGAAAGGCCCTCTATGAGGCAGATTGATTCAGTGACTGGAGTAATTGGGATGGGTGTGTCAGAGGCAATGAGATTGGCACAGGATAGAGCAGGGTTTAGGGCTGTTGTACATAGGGTCGCTATGAGCTACAAATGACTCGACGGCACATAACAACAACAACAACAGTAGTATCTGTGTTTCATTGATTATTCGAAGGCGTTTGACTGTGTGGATCATAACAAACTGTGGTTGACTCTGAGAAGAATGGGAATCCCAGAACATTTAATCGTGCTAATGCGAAACCTATACTTGGACCAAGAGGCAGTCGTCAGAACAGAGCAGGGCAACACTGCATGGTTCAAAATTGGGAAGGGTGTACGCCAGGGATGTGTCCTGTCTCCATACCTTTTCAACCTGTATGCAGAGCAGATTATCCGAGAGGCTGGGCTCTATGAGAAGTGTGGCGTCAGGATTGAGAAGATCTATTAACAATCTGCGTTATACAGAGGACAAAACCCTGCCTGCTGAAACTGAGGAGGACCTCATGCACTTGCTGCAGAGGGTCAAGGAATGCAGCCTTCAGTATGGACTGAGGCTCAATGTCAAGAAGACAAAGATTCTCACCAATGGACCAATTGGCAGCATCAGAATGGATGGCGAAGAGATTGAGATTGTTCATATCTTTAGTTTGCTCGGCTCCACGGTCAACACTCTTGGCACCAGCAGCCAGGAAATAAGAAACGTATTGCGATGGGAAAGTCTGCTTTTAGGGACCTCTCTAAAGTGCTCAAGAGCAGCGGTGTCGCTCTGGAGACTAAGGTGCACCTGATATAGGCCATGGTCTTTGCAATCACTTGTTATGCATCAGAGAGTTGGACAATGACTAGGGATAGAAGGAGAATTGATGCCTTTGAG